GTGACTCAATGAATTTGGGAGTGAAGCTTTCATTTCATTGTAAAAGAAAGTGTTTTAGTGTGACTCAGGCTTTTAGTCACCTGTTTATTGGCTTCATCACCATGTGGATAAAAATAAGGCCTTGCAGAGCTTTGACAGGTACCAATTTTGATGTGTCCCAGCCAATGACCTCAACGTGGTGTGTATATTCCTTTCTGCTCTTATTATTTCATGTAGAATTTTTTGCTTCCTGTGATCACTGTGCATTTAACAAGGTTATTGTACCCCTTCACTAAGTGTCCTCTCCTGGCCCTTATTTTCTGGCTCATCTCACATTCCCACTGATTTTTGCTTACTTTGATACTTATTCTCAGCTCTCAGATCTCATTAAATTTTCTGAGCTGTTGGTTTTTGAATTTATTTCTGCTCTGAGTGAAGCTGTCTGCATTCACACATGAGTCAGTAGTAATTTAGAAGAAATTCTGCAGTTTATAGGCAATCTGGTTAAAGGATGGTTTACTAGATTATTCTGGAGAAAGATTCCCTCTGTGGATAAACAAAGATGACAAACAGAAGATGATGCTGAATAAGCCCATAAAACACAAAGAGAAAACAGAAAAAACAGCCATTTTGCTGATTCTATCCCCCTACCCCCTCCCAGTTATACAAATCCATTCACCTGGTGTCTGTTGGGTTTTCCTTTTAGTTTCTTTTTCTGCATATGAAGTCTTAACTTTAAAACACAGGTTGATCTTGAATGTTTTTCTCCCTTTTGACATGCTTTTTTAAAACCTTGTAAATAATTCCTTTATACTGCTTTACACAATTTTTCTTGTAGATCCAATTAATGTGGAAAATATCTCTTTTCAGTTGGCATTTGTATGTAGAGTCAGACCAGCAAAAGCCCCTTTGTGCTGGGTGGAACATTTCACAGGATACCATGGCATTTGAAAAACAAAATGTTTTATAGCCTTCTCATCTACTCTTAAACATCTAGGACGTTAGAATTTGTGAAAGTGGCAAATATTAGTGGAGCCAAGATGTCTGGGTTGACTGTGGCATGTAGGACTACTTTTAAAATTTCGATGGAAATCATGCCCAAATTGGTGATATCAAAGTGTGTCTACACAGACACCAGATGTTGGTGCTTTCAGTCTGGTTCTCCATGGTCACAGTGTCACTAAATCCATGGGCTAAATGACAGCAGGCTGAAAACGCTCAGTGAAAAATAAGGATGAGGGGGGTGTGGGGTCAGGTTGTATTTTCCATATATGTTCATATACAGTCATTATTTAACATTATTTAAGGCAAATCACTGACAATTCCTGCTTTGATACTACCTGTGTTTATAGCCTGATGGAGCAATAGAGGATTTTAGGGGTAGGAGATTAGCAAGCTGGGATTTTTCTGAAGCATCAAGTGAACTATTATTCCATTTATAAAGCGCAGTCAGTTTGCTATAGTGCAAAGGGACTTGAACATTGCAGCTGGTAGGACAGAATTCCCTCAGCTTCCCAGCCTCAAAGTTATGTTCTGGTCATGGAATTCTAGTTCAGGTGTGTTCTCAGCATGAGCCAAGCAAAGGACTAAAGTTCACTACTTTTCCTATTTCCTGCTTTGAAGTTGCTGTGAGGGAGTGTGTGAACCTGAGGCTGCTGTGCTCTGGAGCAGCTTTAGCCAGAGAAATCTGTGTTGGGGTTTTTAGATTTCTGTGGGCTCGTGGCTCAATTCATTGCTTGCAGGGCTTCCTCCTTCCTCCCATCATGTATTTCTTCTTCATTTTCTCACCTTCACTCAAACCCCTGGCTGGGGTATTCAGGAAAATTTCCGGAGTATTCAGGAAAGCACCTTTTCATCTGGGGCAAGAAGTTCAGCAGCCCCAGGAGCCATGTGAACCTGTGCACACATCTGTGCTTTAAAGATACTTAGGTGTGGAAAGATTGAAACTGGCACCTCCTTCAGTTCTCGTGATCTTTATGGTGCTTCACTTGTGAAATCATTGCAAAGGTACCTAAATATCTATACAATTAATGTCGAGTGAGACAGACATCTAAGTCTCCTAAAGTTTTGCTATTTAAACTTCCAGTACTCAACTTGCTTCCTATACTTTGATGCTTAAAACTCACGAATGAAATATCTATTCTCAGGATCTTTGATCTTACTGCACTTTCAGTTAAGCACCTTAGTAGAGTTAAGAGTGGTTAGGTGTCCCTGTAGGTGCCTTTCCACACATTTGTATGTCTAAATATCTTTGTAAACTTGTCTTTCAACGACATTGCAAAGGAGAACTCGGTGCAAAAACCAGCACGCCAGAAATTTTTATTTTCTTTCCAACTGCTTCAACGTTGGCATTGCTCTGACAAGGGTTTAAAAAAAGCAGTTTGAGTATTGGGATGCAAATTAACATAGCAAGCAATTAAAGTCAATTAAAACAGGATGCAGTGTAATTAGAAACAGTTGTGTTCACATTGATATTCAGAGAGCTTCGATGTGTTGAAAGAAAAGAGAACAATTCAGGAAACTTTTAATGCCTACAGATGTGATGATGATACTAATAATGGCCCTGATTTTGAAAACACCCCATCCTCCCTCACCTCCTGAGCTCTTGGAATGCATGAGAAAATGAGAACCCATGCAATGGAATTACTGGGAGACTCCAACACGGCCTGCAAGTGGTGCCTTCTCTTCCCTCTGAACTCAGGGAACTTACCTGTGACAGTGCAAGACAAGCTGCACTTTTGCAGCCTCATTAATTGTGTGAACATCAACACCAGTAAATTGTCAGCCCTGTCAGCTGGCTGGGGAAGGGTGTGTCTCTCCCACACGTACTTCCTTGGTATCTCTTTCATTGTTCTGGGTATCTTCATTGGTATTTATGGCCAGAAATACTGAGCCAATTGAGCTGTATTTGTATCCCCTTTCTGCATGGCAACCACAAAGGAAGGGAGAGTCTTCAATGCTCTAAAGCTGAGGCAGAACTACCCTGAAGGCAAAAAAAACCCTAGAGGTTGTGGTTGTAGCACTTGCAATGTTAGTAAGGTGTGGATGGGCTGGGGAAGGCATTTGGAAAAGCAAACAGAGGTGTTTGACTCTGCAAACCTGGATTACAGACCGGGATTACAAAAATCCCTTCACGTGACCTCTCTTGGGTACAGAGGTGAGTGGTTTGGGCTCTTCCTTGATCGAGCTGAGTGAGGAAATATGCCCTAAGGAACCTGGGCAGAAATGTGCCTCTGCAAGACTGCAATCTGTTGGCTCTGGTGAAACCTTTCAAGGCAGTGGTGGGATGGACAAGGCAGCAGGAGATGTGCTGCACACCAGGGTGGTGAATGAAGCACACACACAAGGAAATGTTTTCACTGATATTCAGGTGCAATACCTTTAATGTCATCAAATATATGTGTCTGTTGACTACCCTCTATTAAAAGCAACTATTGATTTAAAACAAGTATAAAAAAAAAACAGCTGGCAAAGGACTAAATACAGAAACATGAGAACCATTAGTGGCTACACCGTCCTATCCACCCAATATAAGACTCAGAGCAGGACCATGTCCATTCTGGGTATTTCTTTTTTAGTTCTCATTGCCTGATGATCCGTTTTTATTTGAAACTCAAATGTGTAGAGACAAGTTCTATTTGAACTCAGCCAGCCGGATCAGTTTGCCTTTCCACTAATAGTCAATAATGTGGGCAGTGGGATAAAACTTTCCATCTGCCATTGTATTGATTTAGGAATTCATCAATTCAGCTGCCTGAGACCTTATAGGATTATAATGGTGGGCTGCATTTCCTGGGAAAATGATGGTTTGTGTTTTCAAAAGGGATAAGGCACCTGAAAGATAAGTAGATGCTTAAAGTCAGTGAGAGTGAAGTGTCTAAATATCTCTTCTGATTTTAAGTTCCTCCATTTCTGGGTGTACCTGCCCACAAGATCATTTCGTGTTTGGGGTTAAATACTCAGCATGGTCTGAAAATCAGATTTCAGCTCATTAGTTATGAAAATGTGTTGAAGAACACTTTCATAGGTCCATTCTCTGATGTATGGCTTTCATTCACACAGGCATGAGACTTTTGAATTTAAAATGCATATTTTTCAGGGTTGTATTTTTCACCAAATGATTTCTCCCCTTCTTGCAGCATGTTAAGTAATTTTGGCTTGTGGAAGGCAGATGTGTAAGAGTATCATCTCACATTACAATAGTTACACCTACTCTGCTATAAAGAATTGTGGAGATTTAATTTTAAGGTAGTTATTATTTAAAGAAATATTTATAGTGACATGGGATTTATCATTGAATCCATCCCTGAGTTTGAACAGCCAGGTACTGCTCTCAGGTTTTTGACTGTAAAATGGGACTAAGTCTGCTCCATTTTTCCTTGGGAAAACATGACTTCTTGCAGCTTTCCAGAAAAACTCAGTCATTCCTCATGTAGAGAATAAACTGATTTCTGGAAAAAAAAAAATACAACAAGGGCCATATATGTGAAAACAGAAATTGCTGGGCTTGAGCACCTCAGAAATTTTGCCTGAAGGTGCTTTGTGTGATGAAGTTTCCCTTAACAAATCTCAAGGAGAGATACATAGCAATGGTCCTTTAGGCTTGCTGAAATGTTTATTCCTCAAGCACAGGCACGTAGACAGTTTAGTGATTACCATGTATTGTTCTATAACATATATAATTATTTAACTGCTCTTATGAGTCCACTTCCCTGTACCTATGTTTGGAATAGTACGTGGGATAGTAATAGCAGAGCATCTGGTCACTTGTCACCAAGGGAGGGTAAATAATATACTTAGAGAGTTTCCCAATCTCTCTGTAAAAAAAAAAAGTATTGATCTTTCCTACAAGACTTAAAGAATTCAGAAAGGAATATGTTGGAGGACAAAGCATCAAATTCCACCAGAAAAGAACTTGAGTTTTGTTTTTTTTTTTAATCTAATGGCCAAATGGGTGTGGAACTGAAGTTTTGTTGCAGTTGGAAGAAAATATTTCTCTAAAGTTTGTTTCTTCTCACTAGGTTGTATATGTCACAGCCACGTTCCCCTACATCATGCTGATGATCCTCCTGATTCGTGGAGTAACGTTACCAGGTGCTTCCGAGGGGATAAAATTCTACTTGTACCCTGACATTTCTCGGCTTTCTGACCCACAGGTAGGATCATGGTCCATGGATTTATTTGCCTCTCTGACTGGGAAAAGCTTGCAAGGGTTTCTTGATTTTGAAGTTTGAACACAGGTGATTGCTGGATAGTGGTTCATAGTTGGAGGTTCAGAAATGTGGATGAGGCTTTAAATCCATCACTGCTTGGGTGTGTTTTACTTTTTGAGTTGTAAAGTACCTTGGTTGATAAATGAGAATCTCCAGAACTGTGCAGTTGCAGTTGGTGCTTCTGCTACTGAGGGGAAAGAGCGTTGCTATGTGTTGAACAGGAATAGATTTAACTGAAACTTAACCATTTTATGGTTCTTTGCTCATTCCAAATCTAAATTGCAGTCAAGATTAGCAGAGAACTTATTAATTGAGCTGATTGCTGTCTTTGAAGTAGATGTCTCTACATGCAACCAAAGAGGAATGAAATACTCAAACCAGGAACTCTGCCTGTTTTGTTGTTTCCAGAGTAGAGTTGAACGTGGAAATAATGGATTAAGTTGGTTTTTTCCCAGTGATAGATAAGTAAAATAAAACAGTTACTATAAATAATTTGTCTGATATTGAAGAGGGAACATTACAAGATCTCTGTAGAACCTGAGACATTGCAGACAGTATTTTATTTATCTGGTTTGGCAATGTAGAAGACATTACACAGTGTTGCTCCTGTGGCTATTACAATATTAAATAGATCCTGAGGTGGAGATAGAAAGGAATTTGGGAATATTTGTCAAAATGAATTTTTTTTAATCTGCTTAATGAAAATGTGTCAGCATAATTTCTTTTTTTTTTGTCTCTGCTTACTGCAAATGTGTATTTTGTTGCAAAAGACAATAGGGGGGGACCCTTTCCTTGAAGTTTCTGAAATGGCTGATTTGTGTAAAGTTTGCTTTAAGCCGGTAACATTTCTACAGAAGAAAAAAAACAACCAAAAAGTAAAAGATTCATTTAAAATATTGAACATTTTAGTTGAAAAATTAATCAGGTTGCCTCTTTTGGCTTCAACAACATTCAGCACAGGTGGGAAGTGAGAGAAGGGCTTTGGAAGTGGTGTTTGAGCAGCAGATTTCCAATGTCCAGCTTGCTTAGAGGTGGCCCCAGGGCACCTGAGAAATTAGCACTGTACCAGAGGAAAACAACAGGATTCTCTGACACAATCCCAGTTATTTTTTTGCAACAGAACATTGATTCAGACTGGAGTCAGTCTACTTTCAACTGACCCCCAAGTGTCTGAAGTCATTGTGCCTGAGACAAGAAATTCCTCTGTCATAAACTTCTCTGAGACCATGGGTGGCATTGGTTTGTTTTCTGCAGTTGGTGTTTGACCCACTGTGTCTTCCGAGAGCTGAAGTCACCCTCTGCCTTAACCAGGAGTGGCACTGAGTGCCCTTCTTTTGTGCCACACCGTGGTCATTGTTCCACCTGCAAAGTCTCTCAGCCTGGTGTGGAATCCTGGAAGGACCTGGATAGGAAGGGACCCTACAGACAATCTCATTCCACCACCCTGCTGTGGGTGGGACACATTCCACTGCATCAGGTTGCTCCAAGCATCGTCCAGCCTGGCCTTCAACACTTTCCAGGGATGGGGCATTCACAGCTTCTCTGGGCAACCTGTGCCAGGGCCTCACCACCCCCACAGGGAAGAATTTTTGTCTAATATCTCGTCTAAACCTACTCTCCTTCAATTTGAAGCCATTCATTCCCCTTTGTCCTGTCACTACATGCTCTTCTAAATTCTCTCCCTCAATCTTTCTTGTAGCTCCCTTCAGGTCCTGGAAGGCCACAATTATGTCACCCCTAAACCTTCTCTTTTCCAGGCTGAACAACCCCAGTTTTTTCAGCCTTTCCTTGTAGGACAAATGCACTTCCTTGTACGAACAGGAGGCAGTTCTTACATCCTAAGTGTTGGTTCCTTCCCTTTTGCAGTGGTGGACAAGGGCCCTGTTAACAGGATTTTGCCCTGAGTGTGGATTTTTCACGTGCCACTGCCACCCTTCCTTCTGTTTGTCATTGAAGGAGGGCATGCAAGCTTAAGGGACATTATTGTCAGCTACAAGGGGGGTTTATATGCCTATTTACCACCCTGTTTCCACTTGTAAAGAAGTATGTCGTTACCATGACAATCTGCAAAACACACAGCATTAGTGTAGCAGTCTGGGAAGCACAAAACACTTCAGACACGTGTGTGTGTGTCTCTGCTTGTCCCACACATATAGCTCAGCTAAATTCCCTAAAATGCCTTTTGGGAACGCTCAGTGGGTGCTTTAACGAGCCAAATTCCTCCTCCAGTTCAGTGCCACGTTGCTGTACTTCAGCCGCGGTATTTTAAGCACCTTTTAGCAGGAAAGAAGCTGAAGTAAAACGCACCGTAACTGAGATGGTGAACACTGACGCAGGCTGAATTGGTTTTAGAGAGTTGTTTTGGCGTTGGGAAAAGGCTATTCCATCAAAACGGAAATATTTTGAAGTTCAATATTTGAAGGAAGGTTTCAGAATCGTGGGTGGGATCTCCGGTCAGTTTTCAAGAAATAAAGGAAGTTTAGCTTTTCGGTCATAAAAATAGAATTTAGCACAACTCTTTTCATTAAAAAACAGCAGTAAAACAGCATTGGTTAGGTTTATTGCAGCTTTTAGTGCTAACAAGATAGATATAGAGACATTTTCCATTTTATGGAAATGTAGAACTTAATGTTCAAACTCAAAATATTTGAATAACCCCCCCATTCCACAAGCCTTTTCTGAATTGGTCCTTGAGCTTTTTGCCAAGAAGCACGTATAGGACAACTGAAATAACCTTGAGATTTGTGCTTCTTTCCATCTTTACTGTTTTTTTTTTATTTACTCCACAATATCAAAGCCTAAAGCATGTGTAGTATCAGAGGCTGTTTTCCTCTTCAGCTGGAGGCCTGTTTCAGTCCCTTTCCAGGGGTACTGTGTCTGCATTAGGAGAGTGGTATTTGAACCCCAGTGCCAGCTCTGTTTGCTGTGGATCAAATAAATTAAGTTTCTCTCCGAGGCTCACTTTAGTTTGAAGTTCTTGAATCTTCTGTCTTTGCGTAATTTGCATTTCACAGTTTGTTAGAGCTTTGTGAGCAGCTATTCATCTGCCTTTTCAGTCCCTCTCAGCTCTCCAGTGCCGTGTTCTCCATTTCATTTTTATATTCTATCTCTTCAGCAGACAGTCTGAAAATGCCAGCTTTTGTCTTGTGTGTCTGTAGAGCTCATCCCAATCATTTTTTGTTGTAACAGAGGAAGCATTAACAGCCCCAAGCTCTATTTAAGCCCCAGAAATGCTTTGCTTCATCAACACTAAGGTCTCAATAGCTTTCATGCTCAAATTGCCTTGAAATACATCCCTCTCCCTTAATCTGGATGATACAGGTGCTGTTTGTAGCTTAAATATGGGATCTTTCCCGAGTTATAACTCACACAAAAGAAGGACTTTATCAAATTAATCGGATTGTTATGGTTTTTGTATGCAAGTCTGACTCAGAGTATGGTTCTGGTTGTCCCTCAACAGATTTAAGTCACTTAATATGTAGCTGTACTTGTGTGTGGTGCCCAATGCTCCTTTTTTTGGGAAAGCATTTGACTCTTTGTGATAGGATTTTACAAACATTTGTGCATGGAAGAGGTTAAATGTGTCTAGTACTAGCAGACATACCAGTTTGATGGATCGGGAAGTTGGACAATGATATGGAAAAACACACTCATGTAACTTTAAACTCTTCTGTAGCAGTGAATTCTTAAAATGAGAAGGCAAATAGAGATTTCATGTTTATTGGCTGAGTTACTCTCTTTTTTAGTTAAAAATATGTATTGTTTTAATGAAGATTCTCGTGAGAGCAGCTGTAGGGATGGGCATGTCAACACAGACAGACTTGCACACTCCTCTGAACAAGTTGGTGCTTACCAAAACCTTGAACAAGTTTACATTTCTATGTGGGAAGAACACAGGTTGCCCTTTCTCTCTGATACACCTTCATGTGAATGTTAAACATGATGACTGAGGCCAAATTACATATAAAATACAGGAAATTGGGAACCATGAGAGGTAGAATAGATCTGATATTTCTCTGATCTTTTGTTTACAATGGGAAAGTGTTAAAATTGCAATAAAATTTCTGAAGGTAGAATGCTGCAATACTTCAGCTATGAGAGTTCACTCTTAGGTAGCCATGACTGTGCATGTGGCTCTGCAGGGCTTCCAGGTATTTCTGTGGGCATTCCTACCCAATTGGAAAATGGCTTCCAGAAGGACTTCTTCCATAAATTTGAAATTCGGTTGTCTGCATTGTAGCTCACTGGACCTTCCTTCTCGAAAATAAGAACCAAAACACAAATGCACAACAATGAGCATCAACCTAACCTTAAAAGGCCTTACACTTAACAGATTTATAATACAAAGGTGACTTTCTTCCCTACATTGCCCTCTGGCTCAAAACATGATTTCTTCCTGCATTTTTCTGTGTGGCACTTAGGCTAACTTTTCATAGTCTGTGTGTTTGTAGAGACATGTTAGTGTACTGGATATTTGATTTAGAGAAAACACTTTTTTTTTTTTTTATTGGTAAAAAATAACTTGGAATAAATGCATGTTTTTTTCCTGAAGATTGTATTTTTCCTTATGTACTCCTCAATTTTTATATTAGCATGAGTTTATTTTGCTAGTTATTTACTCCTTAGCATGATCCTAGTATGTTTCAGCATCTACATAAAATTCTACTTTTAAAAAGTTGCTGAAGCTGGAAAAGATTGCTTTCCAATTCGGCTGATTACAATATACATAAGTGAGAGACATTTGGGAATACTATACAGATCTAGAGGTAATATTTTCTTAAATCCTGATCTGAAAATCCAAACTGGAAAAGCACCGGAGAATTTCTCTTCCCTCAACTTTTAATTTCCGGTGTCTGGGAATGCTGAGTTACCTCGGCAAGAAGAAATGACCCAGAGTGATTCAGATTTAGGACTTGCAGCCTTGGAATCGAGCGACTCCCACA